TAATTTTATATAAAATATTATCGTAAAATGTCATGTATTTTATAAAATATCATTTTACGGTTTTGAAAATATAATTTTTAAAGAATAAGTACTTTGGTTAATATATCTTTGGTTCGGTAATGACCCTATAAAATTTTTAACTAATTTTTAATTTTAATTCCTGAATTAATTTTTGTGTAAAACATTATTTACATACATTTCTACAATCATTAATAATGTAAAAATACCATAAAGTAAACGTACGTGCATTGATTGCATTCGTATAAATATATAATTAGATGTTTGATTTCCAATTTTATGGTTTTAAATAATTAATTATGTGCGCCTAATTTTACCAATGATTTCCTTTTATTGGGCAAAATATTATTCGAACAGAATCGAGCATATGTAATATAAAATAATATTGCATGGTGTACTTTGTAAAAATTACAAAAAATGCAGTTAGTTCTTATATGACCAAAAAGTTGATATAAACGACATTGGTTTTTAATTACTTATTAATTTATTTATTTATTTATTTTAAATATATAGCCCACAGAATACTTCTTTCAGATTTAAATTAAAGGTCATTTTGGATCTGTTGATGTTCAGAATAATTTTTTGAAGAAACTTCGTAAAAGATTTGAAAAAATTAATATTATGCGTGCTACCAGGTCATCACCAGCAGAAATTAAATTTTGATTATTTTTTTTACAATTTTTGAGACTTACTGACTATATAAATAGCATGATCTTAAAAATTGTGATTTCTCTTATTATTATATAAAATATCAAACGTATACATTTAACAAAACTGTTTTTTAAAAATAAACTTTTATAAAAGCACATGATATCTGTGACAGCTTGAAATTAAAACGTGCGAAATCATACTTTTCGCTCGGAAAACTAAATTTTAGTTGGTGGTTTGAGAAAGTTTAGAAACTTTTACTGAATTTTAAATAGTGTCAGTATAAAGTTCACACGTTCTATTATCGTATAAAATATAAAACGAATACATTTAGTGGATCATTTTTTAAAAAATAAAAAACTTTGAAAAAAGCACACGCTCGAGACATATTTCTTACGAGGAAAGCACTCCCTTAATTATTATTTTTGGAGAGTTTGAAAACTAAGGTAAGGGGCCCAGTTTCTGACCTTTTTAGAGTGACGGTGGAGGTTAAACTATAATAATTAATATAAAACTTAACTTAATGAAGAAAATTATAATTTTATCTATTAGTTTAGGATTTTTAAAATAAAGTAATGTGCATAAAAAAATTATTTGAACTAAATTTATATTTTAAATTGACGTTTTAAAAATTGACATTAAGAGCTCCAGTTTCTGACCCTCAGAATTCTTCGTGTGGCAGTTTTCTGACCCTCAAATTTAATCATGATTAGGTTATGAAGTGCTTACTAATTTTAAATAAACTGAAATTATTATTAAAATAAATAAATTAAATATTTATTCTAAAAATATACAGTTTGTTAAAATTTAACGTATAAATAGTTCAAGTCTTGTTATAACATATTACACAAACAAAAAAATTAAAATTAATTATTTAAATTACTTGGACATTTTTTTTATTTTAAGAGCTTTTTGTTTCTTTTTTTCAAGTTTTTTTTTAATTATTTTTTCTGCCTCCTTGATGGCTTTATTTTTGGACCTTTCAGCTTTTTTCAATTCTTTTTCTTCTTCTAATTTTCATTTAATTAATTGTAATTGTATAATTGTATAATAATAAAAATATTAGTAAACTAAAACAGTCATAATTTAAGCGTTGATAAAACTGACATTTTTTTATTAATAATTTTATCACTTAAAAGATGTATTTACAAGATTTAAATACAATCTTTCATTTATACCAATGAATATTAAATGTAAATTTATCACTTTACTACGAAAAATAGTAAAAAAAATATAAGATAACAATAAATATTATTATTTTTACATTTAATGAACACGTGACTAAAAACATGTGACAGATAACCTAGCTTTTAGAAGGTTAGAATTGCAGGGTCAACAACTGTGACATACACTTAAAATTGAGCCTAGTTATTGACCCTCAAATTTCAGTAATAAAACTAAATTTAATATGTTTTATGAATATTTTAAAATAAATTTTAATTAATTATTGACTTATTTGTATATTTTTAGTTAGATTTTCGTACTTACATCATAATTAGTGCACGAACTCAATTGTCGTAGCTCCTTACATAAACTGTTTAGACTAAAGCTAAAAAATGGCTTCCACAGTCACTTTTGGTTTAAAATTTTTTTTTTATTTAGTTAATATTTTTTATATTTTTTTAATTGACATTAATGAGGCATAGAATAAATTACTGTCAATTAAGAAAAAATTTATTTTCACATTAAATGTATAGTTTTTTAATTAATTCCAAAAAAAGTTGAAAAGGTCAGAAACTGGGCCAGGGTCAATAACTGGGTCTTTTACCTTATGACTACTTTTTAAATAATGCCATCTTAAAATACATTCATTGTATTTTTATTGTATAAAATATCAAACGTATAAATTTATCAGAACATTTTTAAAAAAATGAAAGACTTTGAAAAAAAAGCACACGCGCGAGACATATCTCTTACGAGGAAAGCTCTACTTTAATTATAATTTTTCGAGAATTTGAGAACTATGACTACTTTTTAAATAATCCCATGTTAAAGTACATTCATTCTATTCTTAGTACAAAAAATATACAAAATTCAATAAAACATTTTTAAAAAATTAAAAAACTTCAAAAAAACCTACACTACAAATTCTGGTATAAACTTTAACACGTGTAAGAACTTATCGTACTCTGCGCTCGGAACACATAAATTTCAATTAATTTTTACAAAAGTTTGGGAACTTTAATTGATTTTCAAATTATGCCACCATAAAGTTTACAACTTATCTTGTCATTACATAAAACATCAATCGGATAAAGTTAGAACATTTTTAAAAAATTAATAAGCCTTACGTCTGCCATTAAACTCTGAGCTGCATACTTTGTAAGGAAAATCAAACTTTAATTATTATTTCTGGAATTTTAGAATTTTCATATTTGTAATTTAAAGTTTATCAACTATACTTCTCATGGCATAAAATGTTATTCAAATAAATTTAATAGAATATTTTTAAAAAATAAAAAACTTCTTTTGCGAGTACTACAGACTTAAATTATTATTTTTGAAGAGTTTGAGAACCGTGACAAATTTTTAACTAATGCCACCGTAAAGTGTATGAATTTTATTATTTTCACACAAAATATCAAACGTAAAAATTGAGTGAAACATTTTTAAAAAATTAAAAAACTTCAAAGATAAAGCATACGCATTATACAATGACGAGCACGTGTAAGAACTTATACTCTGCGCTCGGAACATAACAACTTCAATCAATTTTTCAAATTTGAGAACTCCAACTAATTTCTAGATAATGCCACCATAAATTGTATAAATTTTTCTATTGTTACACAAAAAATAATCAAAATCACTTTAGTAGAACATATTTTAAAAAATTAACAAACTTTAATAAGCTTTACGCCTATAGACAGTCCTTGCGCGGATAATAAAATTTAAATTAATATTTTCCGAATGTTTGAGTACTCCAACAGAATTGCAAGTTATTGCATTTTAAAGGCCATGAACTGTACTTTTCTTATATAAAATGTCATTCAAATAAATTCAATAGAACGTTTTTGAAAAATTAAAAAAAACTTCATAAGGCGCATGCAATCTGATACGAGTACTTCATCCTTTGATAAATAACTTTTAAATTAA